TAAATGGCATGCCTGGGGTGACACAGCAGAGATTATTATTCTGGAAGAGGCAGAGAATGGGCCCTAAGGGAAATGGATGGTAAAAACTATTAACTACATTTGGATGGAACAATCTGGAAAGACTGTGTGGACCAGAGTGTGAGGAAAAAAACAACTAAAGGAAACCCCAGGGGCACATCTTCCTCCTGGATGGACAGAGCCTTCAACCGCCCATTCTAGGCCGTGGGGTCTCAGCTGTGCTAGAGGGGTTACCCCAATCTAACGCTCTCCTTTGCTCTCAAGAAGGCCCTTAGCTGTCGCCTTTCTAGGACCAAAGGAGACACCTTCATAAACTCCGGGGTGGGACTGGGATGTTGGTTGTCTGGTCTAGTGGTTTCCTTTAGGGAGGGAGGCAAAGGGGACAGAAGTAGAGAACAAATACTTTGTCCGTAGGGCTTCCCTTCACTGGAGAGGGAGAGAAGGGAAAAAAAGAAAGAAGTAGAAGTTCAGAAGCAAATTTGAAAAAAACTAACATTTGATCCTTTGAGGGAGAGCACATCCATTGATGTTTGCTCTCTTGCCCTTTTTGTACTTTCATGTATTTTAACTTTTTTCCAAAATAAAAAACAGTGACATTTTCAAATGATGATTACTATAACAGTTTAGTCCAGAGCCAATTTCATATTGCAACGGATATCCACACAAACCACTTTTGTTGTTGTTGTTCTTTGCTTACTTTCCTTTTTTAAGGAGAGAGACCAAGAGAACTGAAAGCTCTCTGATCACCATTTAAAGAATTCACTGTGCTTTGGCTCAATCATACTTCTTCCCATCCATCCCAATTCAAGTGATTCAGCAGATCCCAAACACGTATAGCCATGTTTGTATTTCTGACGTCCATCTCCCCCACGTCCCCTCACCAGAATGGAATCCACAAGGGCAAGATTTTGTCCTCATCACCGTGTCACATCCATGCAGCACAACCTGGCACATCGTATGCCCTTATTCAATATTTGCTGAGTAAATGAGTGAATTCCCAGAACCCACAGGGAGTGTCCCCGCACCAGCTTTTGTGTAGATCCCACAAGTCCTTTCAGGCTCCTTTGACATTTTGGCCTTGGCTTTGAGGGCCAACCCAGCCCCTGCGAAGTTAATTGCCACCACGTACAATAAAATAGTGAGATGCAAGGCTAACACCTTGGGAAGATGTCTTGTACCTAGGCCTCTTCTGGAACTTTCTTTCACCAGGTTGGGCTGTTACATGCATAGGAAAGGCCCACAGAGGCAGCCTGAATATCTCATTTACGCTTGCTCCCTTATCCTTCTTTTCCTAGCATCCCTGAGAGAAGTACTTTTCTTTCCACCCTGCTGAAGGCTGGTATGGAACATTTTAGAGTAGTTTCAAAATGACATTCAGGGCTTCCCTGGTGGCGCAGTGGTTGAGAGTCCGCCTGCTGACGCAAGGGACACGGGTTTGTGCCCTGGCCTGGGAAGATCCCACATGCCGCGGAGCAGCTGAGCCCGTGAGCCATGGCCGCTGAGCCTGCGCGTCCGGAGCCTCTGCTCCGCAATGGGAGAGGCCACACAGTGAGAGGCCCACCTACCACAAAAAAAGAAAAAAAAAAATGACTTTCAGATTCTTCTTTCTTCTTAATCTCATTTCTTTTTTTTTCAAATATTATTTATTTTTGGCTGAGTTGGGTCTTTGTTGCTGCGCGTGGGCTTTTCTCTAGTTGCAGTGAGCGGGGGCTACTCTTCGTTGTAGTGCGCGGGCTTCTCATTGCGGTGGCTTCTCTTGTTGCGGAGCATGGGCTCTAGGCATGTGGGCTTCAGTAGTTGCAGCACATGGGCTCAGTAGCTGTGGCTCGCGGGCTCTAGAGCACAGGCTCAGTAGTTGTGGCGCACGGGCTTAGTTGCTCTGCAACATGTGGGATCTTCCCGGACCAGGGCTCGAACCCGTGTCCCCTGAATCAGCACTTAACCACTGCGCCACCAGGCAAGCCCTTTATCTCATTTCTTTACCAACCTTCAGCCTTTTTTTTCCCTACTTTTTACTTCCATTGGAGTTTACCATTTACTTTGTCTTTTTTACTTCCTCAAAGCCTATGTAACAAATATGAATTTTACCTTCAGAAGAAAAGAGTTATTTCACCCACCAAGTGAGTGTCCAATGGAAAAAGTAAACGAAAAAAATTTTATTAGAGCTTTCTTAAGATCAAAGTGAGTTTTTAGTTCTCTGGAAAAGAAAGCGTGGAGGACAAGGAAGTAGGGGTAATCGTCTGCTTGTCCCAGACCTCCTGGTTCATGGAGACAAATCCTCATCTCCCCACCCTGGGCCTAGGAAAGGACACTAGAAATGCAAGTAATCCTGGAGCCAGCAGGGAATTTCCATTCAAGAACGTGATGGTAAAAACCTGAAAAACAGAACGGCCCCGACTCTATTCCCGGTGTTTTCGCTCTCACCAGACCATGCTGAGTGAAGATGTCCCTTGCTTAACTTCCAAGAAGACATCCGAGTTAGCCCCTGCCTACGTGGTGGGTATTGCCCAAATGATTGTTTGCAGCAGTGCTTTCCCCTCATTTGAGAATCGCTGGCTTATTCAGCTCATCTTGCTATGCGGTCCATTACAGAGCTTAGGTATCTGGGTGTCATTGAGAGCCATTAGCTCAAACTCTTGAGGTGTATCCGGATACCTCAAGTTTCTCTCACAGTCCCCAGGAGCTGTACAATCCCAGGCAGCCGATTGGAGACCTGGGTTCTGGTTCTAAGCTTTTAGGAATCATTCTGAGATTTGCTGGTGTCACAGTCCTGCCCTTCAGCAAGATCATTCAGAGAGGTTTCCAGAAACCTCAGAGCTTGCCTAAAGCCATGTGTTCACTTAGGAAGTGCCCCTTCCGATCTGTCTCTGACTGAACTGGGACAGGTCCTTCAAAGCACATACCTGTCCCAGACAACCAAGGATACTGGTTGCCTATGAATAATCCAGACATTTTTTTTTTTTCTCTTCTGGGCAGAGCAAGTGTGGGGCCCACAGTCGCACACCCACAGTGGAAGTGTGGAGTCCTGGTCCTCAATAATAAACATTTATTGAGCACTTGCTGTATAATCGGATCCAGTCCTAAGCAATTCACACACATTGCCGCTTTTTTTTTTTTTTTTTTTTGCGGTACGCGGGGCTCTCACCGTTGCGGCCTCTCCCGTTGCGGAGCACAGGCTCCGGACGAGCAGGCCCAGTGGCCATGGCTCACGGGCCCAGCCGCCCCGTGGCCACGGCATGTGGGATCTTCCCGGATCGGGTCACAAACCGGCGTCCCCAGCATCGGCAGGCGGACTCTCAACCACTGCGCCACCAGGGAAGCCCCCACATTGCCGCTTTTAACCTTCACAACAACCCTGCCAGTAAGTAGGTACCCTTAGCCCCATTTTACATATAAGAGAACAGAGATTAGGTGACTTGTCCAGGGCAGTAGCTAGGAAGTGTTCCAGCAAGGATCCTTGGCCAGTCAGGGCCAGTACTCTTAACTTCTGTGGTGCCCTGTGCTGTCTTTTCTGCTTTGGGGTGTTGAGAAAAGGAGGGAGACCTCACACAAGTGATTGATCTGTTAAAGAGGAAAAGGTAATCATCCCCAGAGATTTTACAAACAGATTGAAAAAATGTCAACTCCTAGGCCTGAAAATTTGCTGCCTGGTGGCTCTCAAGGGGGACCTCCGCTATCCCTGGGGAGGTAATCTCTGCACTATAGCTCTGGTGTGACTGGTGACTTCTAGAGTTCAGAGATGCCCTGGTCACATGTGCGGGAAGGCTGAAATATTTGGGTAGTGCCCAGGGGGTGGGCAGCCGAAATCGTTATCCAGCCTGGCAGCCTTAAACAGAGGAGCAGATGACTAGAAACCCCAAAATGAAGTTGCTTTTCGTTGTCTTCTCAGTCTTTGTGGGGAATGAGGTCAAGAAAGGGAGATCTAATTCCACTCCGAGTCTCAGGCTCGGTAAATTCAGAACAAAACTACAGCAGCAAAAACGTTGCTTCAGTCCCATAAAATCTCTCCCTGTGAAGATCTCCAAGCGGGCAAGCACCCCTCGGAGGCTCCCCCGCTCTGGCTTTCTCTGTGGGCGCCGTTTCCCCTTCCTTCCTGCCCGGTGCCCAGTGCCGGGGGGCCGGGCTCCAGCCGCGCAGCAGCCCGGGCCCCACCGGCGTAGGGAGCGCCTCCGGGATAACGCGGAGCTCGGGATGCTCGGGATGCTGGGGCAGAGGCTCCTTTCTGCTCAGCTCGCCCATGCGCTGAAAGGTTCTCCCCTTCGACTGCACCGGAGGCAAGAAGTAGCTTGCAAAGGGAGGATTTTCAGCACAGTGCACAGGGAATTAAACCTCTATGAACAATAACGTTGGTCTGTGGAGTGGAAAAGCAGGGGCGGTGCTGGCGTCCCCTAGGCAACGGGCTGACAATGTTCACTCCTTAGACAATCTTGCAACTGGCCATGGCTCTTTCCTGACAGTACCAGTGGCTGAACTCCGGAAAAATAATGAAGGCTATGGATGGGATATGGTGAGTGCCACGAGATTCCCCGCTCCAAATTAGGGCTGCTTTTCTTGTGTTTGAACTCGTATTAGAAAAACAAGCTAGCAGACCATGACTGCTGACACAAATAAATCCATAACTGTACTGGCAAACACTTGAAATTCATCCTTGCAGTAAAAGGAAAAAAAAAAAAAAAAAAGCAAAACTATTTGCCTCCTTTCCTGGTAACATCCAGGGCTGTGATGGAAAACTCCGTTATTCCTAAGAAAGATGCATGAGGAGCATGTGTTTTTCTCCAGGTTGGTTTTCTTCTTTAACCCAGGAGCGTCTGTTCCATAGACCGCAGAGCAACGGCCACGACCGGGCTGTGTGCGTGTGCGCGCGTGCGGTGTGCATATCGTTTTCCCTAATTGCTACAGCATAACTTCCTCTTTGCTTTACCAGACTAAGTCTCAGCAATGAGACATCACGTGTAAACTTCTTGTCTGTTTGCTTTTTTCAGTTCTAGGGAAAATCCGAACTGCAGTTGGCAGTGCCCAACTTCTTATGGCCCAGAAATTCTACCAGTTCAGAGAACTGTGTGAAGAAAACCTGGTAGGTATCCTTACCCATCACTACCATTTTCCCTGCTAGTACCACGAGAAGAACCTGTTGTCAAGACCGGTCCACCTAAAGTAGAACCAAGTCACAGCCCATCGGACTCTCTAACCTGGAATAGAGAGTTTTCTGATGAATCATATATTTCCTGCTTTTCTTAAAATTAAAAATATTTATGTTATACTTAAGTAATCTTTGAAGAAAGAATCCAATCAGGCTAAAACTCCATTCCCCTCCCCTTTTTTGTTCGGTAACTGAAGACTTTCCATTTTCCTGGCCTTCTGATTTCATTATTCTTACCAAACTATGGAGAAGACTGATACGTAAAAAATAATATTACAGCAAAAAGATCATTTTCGATAATGAGTTTCTTTCTGAAATAGCCATCAGGGCTTATTTTCTTATCAGAGTTCTCTGTTTTAATTCAAGAATCAGAAGTGGAAGGTGTCATAAAGTATAGATTTGATCTCCCTGAGACCAATGAATCATTCATCCTTCTTGGACATACAGAAACAAAATAAACCAGGACAAAGAGACAAAACTAATACTAGCATCAACAACATTTTAAAAAAATTACCAGCAAAATACAAGGGCAAGAGCTTCCTCACAGAATTTTTTTTAAATGCTACCATCCCTACAAGTGTCATTCCACAAACATAGCTTTCATTGGTCAATTAATGATCAAGTCGGATCTAAATAAAGAAAATGAAAAGCAACTAGTTTATCTCCTGGAAGGTTAAAAACATGAATCATTTGCAATCGGATTGACCCAGACTATGATTTTAGAGTTCTAACCACATCTTGTTAACAAGGACAAATACAGACCGCAGGGAATTTATCTAGACAGGGCTCAACCAAGAGCAGATACAAACCCGGCAAAAGTTGGTGCTCTCCGTCTCTCTTCACCAGGCTTTTCTTTTTGAACCCTCCCCTTGGGGCTATCCTTTCCTTCCTCCTCACCCCCACCCCTGACATCTATAGTTTGTTTTCTCCTCCCTCAGCAAAAATTACCTGACCCTTCTTTCAGCGTCTCAGAAATTCTATTCTGAATTATGAGATAATATATATTAGTAGATGTATTGATAAGTGATTCAACCAATATCTTATTGAGCTTCACTACGTGCCAGGTACAGAATTCCTGCTAATCTGTAAACTTGCGGATGTGTCACAGATCTTTTTTTTTTTTTTCGCGGTACGCGGGCCTCTCCCGTTGCGGAGCACAGTCTCCGGACGCGCAGGCTCAGCGGCCATGGCTCACGGGCCCAGCCGCTCCGCGGCACGTGGGATCTTCCCGGGCCGTGTGCACGAACCCGCGTCCCCTGCATCGGCAGGCGGACTCTTAACCACTGCGCCACCAGGGAAGGCCCACAGATCTTAATTAATATGATTCTTTGCTCTTGTAAAGAATCATACGTAAAAAAGTTCATATAAAGCCATATTTCTCAAACTGGCCAAAAGACACAGGCGGAGACCAATAAGTACACGCTACAGGGCAAACACAGCACACCTTTGAAAAGAATTATAGAAGCAGGAGCAGAAGCGCACTGTGTCCTCAGAGCTTTTAAGTTTATGATCTGGTTAGATCCTCAAAGCAACGGTCTGGAGAATATAGTGACATTATTTTTATGACGGTTCTACCGTTGAGGAAAATGGGCCTGAAAGAGCTCAGTGACTTGCCAGGGCCGCGTGGTAAGAGGCAGAGCCAAGGTTCAGATCCCAGTGTGTTCGACTTCAATCCCTGTAAAGGCCCCCCAGGATTTGAGTCCCCTCCTCACCCTGCTGGCTCAGCTCCATCTCCTCTGCAGCAGGAAGCACGGTGGCCTGGTGATGGTACCACTTAGGTCCACAAAGGTGCATTGAAGCAGCACTGAGATCGGTCACCCCAGGCCCAGCTCTGCTTGCTTGAGTTCTTACTCTGAGGAGGACACCTGAGAACACTTGCACCTTGTCTCCGACTTGACTCTCGGGCATAGAATAAATGCATTGCAACAAAAGTCAACCCAGGGACCTGGCCCGCCGTATCCTTCTCAACCTCTACCACCTCTGACCTCCAAGTGGCCTGGTTCATACTCAAGCGGGCTGTGCATCTCCTTCTGCGCCGGGGTGTCACAGGAGCCTCTGATTCGGAGACTGGCTGAGCACCCAGGCTCTTTCCCTCTGCTTCCCCATCCATCCCCTGGAGGCTGTGTCAGCAAAGAGAGTCTTGGTGGGAAAGGAACAAATTACCCGTGTTACAGAGTTAAACGACCTCTATCATTTCATCGACTGATGCACTAAAACAGTTTAACCAACGGAGCTTGTGACCTAAAAGACTTCGGTGAACTTCAAAGTATGAGCAATTTAGCTTTTAGTTACCAATAAGATAAGGAAATATATTGCGAGATCATAAAACTCCATTTGACAAGTACTTTGTCAAAGCTATTATCTGTCTATTCTGAACCTAGATATTAAGAAACTTTCTTTTTAGTTTACTAAATCAAAGTACTACAGAGAAACCCTCTTGTTAATTCAGATGTCATTAGAATAGAGTTTAACACTGACCCAAATACTTACAAATTTTAGAACTTACTTATTCCAATGATCTATGGGTAGTTTTAAAAGTGTAAGTTTATAAATATATTCTTTACTTGTATTTATTTTGAAGCCAGACCAATAATGCTAGTCCATGAAAGGGGTAAAACGTTCTTTCCAACTTATTAACTTTGATGGTCACCAACCTTGAGCTTCCTGAAATTCTGATGATATTTTCATAGGGCTGATTTTAAAAGTACAAACTGGCCTCCAGTTATTATATGGCATGAGACTTCACAGTCTTTCCAATTGCCCAGATTCCCAGAGGTAACCAAAACGGACCCCTGCTAGAAACTTTTGGCAAGTGGGAGTCCCACCCATCTGCCCATGAATGCCTTTAGCTACTGTTGCAGGTAGTAACCAGCGATGAACACAACACCTTCAGTCTTTAGTTGTTTTTTCTGTCTCAGACCATATAAATGAGTGGTTCATACTTTCTAGTACTTGTCAGGGATACGTGAATGAGGGCAAAGAAAGTCAATCCACAAACCAAAGAATGTTTAATATTATCTAGCAAATGGGTCACTACAGGCATCTATGTGTGTGTATAGACAAGTGTTCTCACATTTGCCATGTTACGTTATGGTCAATTTAAAACTAATTCGCTTCCAAATGATTTTGTCCAAGTACTTATATGATAACATGACTTCCTACATTAGAGATATCTTAATTGTTAAACACACAGTAGTTTGAAAATCCAGTTCTTTTATTACTTATCATTGTTTGCCCTAGTATTTTCACTCAACATGAGTATTAAAATGAACTTTACTTTAGATTCCTTATATGTTCTCTGAGTATGTTGGATGGCATGGAGTTGAATACTGACTCTAGTACCAATACACTGTATTTTTTTTTTTTTTGCAAAAGGTATTTTCCTTTAAATATAGCTTTAAATGCATCTTGTCATAGATCATACATTCTGGGATTTTTCAAATGTTTATAGACTCCCTGCCATAGCGTACTGAAGGATGTAATATTAACAAAAGAAGAATTTTACTTTGACATTGAGAATCACTGACTCCAATGTGTATAAGATGAATGTATAAACTTATCATTTGCAGTGGAATCTTTTTTAAAAAACCAAACTCAGAGAGAGTATAAACGTGGTTGCCAGGGGCTTGGGTGTGGGGGAAACAGGGAGAGGTTGGCAACACGGTACAGATTTTCAGCTATCAAATGAATAAGGTCTGAAGATCTAATTACAACATGGTGACTATAGTTGATAGCAGTGTATTGTATAACTGGGCTTCGCCAAGAGAGTAGAACATAAATGTTCTCACACACACACAAAGATAAATACATGAGGTGATGATGTGTTACTTAACTCGACCGGGGGAGTCCTTTCACAATGTGTGTATATATCACATCATCACGTTGCACACTCTAAATATTTTGCAATTTGGTCAATTATTCCTTAAGAAAGGTGAATATGTATATAAGACATATATAAAATATGAAATGAATAAAAGGGCCATCGATAGCCTCACTTCTCTCTCCTATCTGAAAACCAAAAGGAACTCATCCTCCTTGCGTTATTTGAAATATTTGAAAAGGCCGCCTTGGTCCTGTGCTTGTTGTCCTAGATCATCACCTCTAAAGCGCGAATGTTTTTCTTTCTCTCGTACAGAATCCCAGCGCTCATCCGAGGCCCACCTCCCAGGATTTGGCGGGGTTCTGGGACATGCTGCAGTTGTCCATAGAAAATATTAGTATGAAATTTGATGAACTTCATCAGTTAAAGGCCAATAATTGGAAACAGATGGATCCTCTTGACAAGAAGGTAGAACAATGTCGATTTTGTATGGTTCATTTAAAAACCTGCACAAACACTGGACAGTCTAAATAGGCTTCTGCTTTCAGTCTTGCTGTTTACAATGTGAAATGGAGCTGATATCATATCAATTTCATTGTAATGACAATGTTTACATAGTAATCACTTGGGATATTATCTGTAATATGTTTCAGGCATATTTTTAAAGAAAAACCTGTCTGTGTGAATTGGAAAATGGGAATGTGGCTTTTTTTGTTAATTAAACTTTAAGTTAAACCATTTTAGTCACTGGAAGGAACTGCCTCCATTTTGCTTTTTAAACTAAAATAAATGACATCTTCAGTGCACGGTTACATACAGCAAGAGCTCAACTTCCTTACACCCCTAGCACGTGCTTCCGAGAAAATAGGAAGCCCTGCAAACTAACCGACTTTGATAATCATTTCATAAATATAGTAATAAAGAAACCACTGTTGTTCAAGTGTAAAAATATACACACCGTAAAGTTTCACAGTAATCATAAATGTTGGGATTTTTTAAGAGTTTTACTGTTGGTTGGTTTGCCCTGGGGAATATCGCTCACTGGGTTCCTCACGCGAGAGCGTAGAAGTAAAGACTCAAATGCTTTTACTTGAATTAATAAATGGCAATTTTCACATTTGATTACGGCGGGTCCACCAGGCTTGCCCAGGTATCCAATGTCCACCTCCCTAGGCTGGCCAGGCATGCATGACTTTTTTAACCCTTTGCTTTCCTATGGCCTGAGGTCAGATGTTCCCGAGAGATTCACCTTCTAAATATTAGGCACAGCTATACTTGTGATGCCCTTTTCCTATCCCTGCACCTATCAGAGAGCAAGCAGCAGTCCAACCTACTCTGCTGCTGCCCATTATAATACCAGGGTTCTTGGGGTCCACGGGCTCCCGGGAGAAATCCAGTGCCAACAGCCGGTGCATCATCAAAGGGGCCACCGCTCTCATCACTGTCCCTCATCTCTAATTCTGTCACCATCCACCTGTGGGGTTTTGGTGCGAAGCATCAAAGTACCATTGATGTCTGTGTGGCCTCTCACTGGGGGAGCCAAACATTTGCACTCAATCTAGTTTTCTTTAATCTGGGTTTAAAACTGTCTGCTACGTAAGCTTTTAAATTGGTCTGATTTTAAGAAAACACTACAGATGTACACACATACTGGTGACTGAATTTCTAGAGCTGATCCACCTGATTTCTCACTCATGGATTTTTAAAAATTATAGTTAAAAAATAAAATGTGCAAGGAAAGGAAAATATGACTAAAAAGTTTCCAAAATATCGACTGAGTTACCCAACAATGAAGATTTTAAACGTCCAAAAGGAGTGAAGCTAAGAATTGATATAGGTAACCTATTGACACAGTAAATCATTAGTTAACTTGATATCTAAATCTTCACGCACGTTGTCTGTCATCAGAGCTTTGCATCAGCCCATGAACTGGAAGGGAAACAATGAACAAGACAATCAGGGTTGGTGGACTATGGTTTGCACTCTGTGCTCCCCTGTTTTATCCACACAAGACGCCACCTTAAACAGCCGGCGGGCAACTCCAGTGCAGTACGTTAACTAGGGCTTCACCCAGGCAAGCAAGGAGGAACACAGAGAATGCCCTTGGGAGAATCATGGAATCCCTAATTTAAGATACTTTTCACATTTAGTTTTATGAGAATTAGGGTATTTTATTAAAAAATGAAACCATCAGATTCACGTGGACCTTTGTGCAGCCTGAAAACTCACCATCTTTTTCCCCAAAATCCTTTGTGGTTTAGATTCCCTTCTTTCCCACTGTACTTCTTTCTCCAGCCCAAGTGATATATGGCTTTTGTTTTTGCAACTGCATTTAAACAGAGCCACCCGTTTTCTAGTTTGCTGCTGCTAGGGGGATGAACTCTTTCAGTCTTGTGTTCAGTTTTCATGGCACAGTGTCTGTCCCTGTGATGGAATTGCCCTCTGGGCCGCCACAGTCGCCCCGAGATCCCTAAGGCGTGACGGTCCAGCAGGATGTTTTAGGAGCTGACTCCACTACCCGGGAGGGTAAGGAACTGTCCAAGTCCTCCCTCCAGGGTGACCCTGCCCAGTGCATTGCTGTGTGTTTGTGTGTGATGTGCAAACGGGTGTAACTCACTGTGGCATCAGCAAAGCTAAACGAACGCGGGCTTACAATCTTCTTCCTCGTTTGGTTGTTTAGGTTTGGGTGGGCCCGAGGAGAGGGCGGGGATGTTTTTAAACTCTGAACCGAGCTCGCACCCTCCGCCTCCCTCCTTAGGGGGATGCAGAGTTCTAAGAGGCGACCGCTGCCACCCTTTCCCATCTCTGGCACCCAGAACAGTCTGGAGCCTCCAGAGAAAAACCGCAGTAAACGTGCTGGGAGCCGCAGCCTTTCAGCAGGCGGGGGGGGGGGGGGGGGGGGCATTTTAAATACCCACATCCTTCCCTTGGAGAGACCTAGTTCTGCCATCCAGCTTTACCCTTGGCCTTAAACTTACCGGTATTTTTTTCCCCCTGCAGCTTTTGAATACGCAAGCCAGAATAATGAAGAAAAAATATATACATATCTATACATGTAAATATATATATATATATATATATATATATATATATATAAAGTGAGAGATCAAAAATAAACCAACCACCCCTAGGGTTAAAAAAAAAAAAAAAAGTGTGCTAACTACTGACCTATCCCAGTTTTTCCCAAGCTTGTCCTGAGAAGCTGTGTAATGTCCTGAACCTTCTGCTTTGATCAGGAGCGAAGGGCCCCTCCTCCAGTGCCCAAGAAGCCGGCGAAGGGCCCCGCGCCGCTGATCCGGGAGCGCTCGCTGGAGAGCTCGCAGCGCCAGGAGGCCCGCAAGCGCCTGATGGCCGCCAAGCGCGCCGCGTCCGTCCGCCAGAACTCGGCCACCGAGAGCGCCGAGAGCATCGAGATCTACATCCCCGAGGCGCAGACCCGGCTCTGAGGCCCCCGGCCGCCGCGCCCCCGGCCGCCTCCTCCCCGGCGCCCGCCCTTCGCCTTCTTGGCCCGCCCACCCGTGTAGACGCGGCCCCTCTAGGTCACCCGCCATCCTCCGTTCTCTCGAGCTTGTCTGTCCTTAGATTCCAGCAATATCGAACCATAGGGTATCTCAGAAATCCAGGATCCCGGGGTGGGGGGGTCCCCAGGGGGGTGGTCCCCTCGGGACCTCGCGGACTTCCACCCGAAAGAAACTAGGAGACTAGGGCTCCGATCCCCCTGATTTCCCCGACACGCTTCCTATTTGGGCAAGCAGATGGAACACTTGATTTCCAACCTCAGAAATCACACACCCTGTCACCGGAGTCGGGAAGTGACACACCGAGAGGGGACGCAGAGGGGCTGGGGGGCGGGGGACCAGGATGCGGAGTGGGGGAAAGAGAAGCAAACCCTGCGGGTGCCGGGGGTACCTGCGTCGCTCACAGCTGCAAAACTGCCTCACTCTTGTGTCATCAGTCACTGCTTCAGATGTCTCAATCAGCAGAAGATTGTCAATCCGATCTTTCAGGGATATCCATCTATTCTGAAAGGCAATAAAATGAAGATAGGCAAGGCAAGACAAAGGAAGCACTGCTAGTTTAAAAGACTACATAAGGGATTTTTTCTTTTGTCCTATTCTTAAGAAAAGTTACACCTGAAGTGTTTTATCAGCTTTTCTTGTACTATGTGTATTATATTGTTGTGATGGTGGTGGTGGGGTCTTTAGGGGAAAGTGTTGGTTCTATTAATTTGTTAGTGTCCATCCTGGGGGCCTACCTAATTACACAGAGCTAAGTACATCTCTGCTTACGGAGTGCTGTACATGGCAGCCGGGCTGCTTTCTGCGAAAAGTTGGGATTTTCCTAGCATCCCCTTGGAATGCTACACATCCGTCTCTTTTAACCCAGTAGTTCATACGGCAGACGTCTGTCTTCATCAGTCTTTTCTCACTGCTCCACAGTCCTAACACACCCCCGAATAAGGATTTTGTCCTGTGTCAAACCGGTAAAATAAGCTTTCTGTCCCAGTAGACATGCTGCCTCGTTCCAAAGAGCGGCCACTTGTCTTGAGGTCCCAGGTAGAGAGAGAAGAAATTTGACCTGCGAGGTTCAGAGGCCACATGGAGGGGGACAGTGTCATGATTCCTAAACACTGAAAGAAACCCAGGCTTTTGGCAGAGAATGTTGATTTCCGTTTTTAGTCCTGATGGATGGCCAGTATGACTTTTGCATCCAGCTCAAGTTATCTTTAAATGCCCTCACTCGTAGCAGTTTAAGCACTTAGAATGAGGTGATCTTAAATGATCACTGGCGTTTTATCCAGCTCCCTAAAGCGTTAGAAATTACCATTGAAAAATGAAAGACTTTTAAAAACATACATCAAATACTCTTGCACCAGAGATGCTTTTTTTTAAAAAAACAACAACAACAACACTCTCATAGCCAGGTGCTAATTTAATTTTATTTAAGCAATTAAGAGAGGTGATGGGTTCTGGCAACAACTATTTTCACGGACATATTCTAAAACCACTAGAGAATTCGCTACCTCTCAGAGCCATTGATGCTTTGAGCTATGTTTATAAACAGGGCACAAATGTTCACTGCTGTGGTTTACAAGACAAGGGCTACTAACATTTAAAAACCAACCAACCAACTTTTAACTAGGGTGAACAAAGCACCTTTGAGTGCTTTATAAAATTGGAGCAGACAGAGAATTTGAGCTTCAAGTATTGCTGGTTTTAAAAAGAATACACCTTTTCTTTACTCTAGCAGCCAAGGAAGGTCACACAAAGTTTGCATCAAGTAAGGCCAACTGCCACCTTGGGTAGCCTATGGTCTCATTCAACCCTGACAGTGACTCGGAACTCAGATTAACGTGAAGGAAGCCACACCCATTTGAAGACCAGATGTCCCCATCCACAGCTCTGCACCGTGAGGTAGAGATAAGATTTGGATTAAGAAATAGATTTCTAATACGATTCAAGATCATCCTACAATATTTTCTTTGCAAACTGGTTTAGCCCAGGATATTTTAAAGAGAGACAAGAGATGGCCTATTTATCTTGTCTATGTGAATGGTATTTGTATATTCATAAGCTATTTTTGGTAAGAATTTTAAATCTTTTAGCCGAAGGCCTCCAGGCACCATGACCTTTGCCTTCCTTGAAAACACCAATTGTACAAACACTTTATAGAAGGCTAATTATTGATGTTAAGACATGATCCCACATAAAGCTGCCTGTTAATCACTTGCCCCCTTAAGCTGACATCCATGACCATAACCTTTGTTACATTGTTCTTCTGATGTAATTTGTAGAAATGTTTTTTAGTTCATATTGGAAAATGTATGTACCCTGAAAAATTACTTATTTTGTTTAACTTTGGTATAAAGGTGTTTGGGCATTTTCTTGGGGAGGGGGGATTACAAAAGAAGTTTGTCTCCCACATCAAAAAACGTTAAAAGAAATTAAGTATTTATTATATTTTTTGCAGATGTTTCCATACAACTCACATAACCTTTTTGTAAAGAGAGATGAAGAAATGGATTAAAGATTTTTAATATTTGAAATGGTAAATAGAACTAATTTATTTGTACTATATTTCTGTTATTTATAGATGTTTCCTTAATGTTTTACTGTGCATTACCACTTTAATTTAAGCCTTATCCTTGTGAATTTACCATTTCTTTTTTAAAACCTGTCTAGATGCATATTTTAAATAACTGGAATGTAAATCACTAGCATATCTGAATTCCCAAATGTAATTTTTAAAAATTATTTTGGTTTGGAAAAAAAAAGATTCATTTGAAAGCCTTCAGATGGAGGGGTGGGGAACATTTTTATGGCTTTATGAATTGGAATTTCATAGGCTTATCTACCTAGACTGTGTGTGGACAAAAAAAAAAATTGTAAATAGATGAATGTTTCCCATAATGTATAAAGAAATTAATAAAATACTTAATGCACTGCTTTCAGGTCTGTGTGTTTTCACTACAGAGTCCTACTTCTTCTAAAATATAAGTAATTGCCTTTGGGGGGGTGAATAATTAAGCAGTTAAGAAGCATATCATTGTGACTTTCATTGTAACAACACATGTACTAGTCCAGGTGAGCTGGTGGGTAGACCTTGCACCCTATGGAAGGGCTTTAAGTACCCAAAACTAAAAGTCCTTTTACTGTGATGATTACACGCATCTGAAAGTTTCAGGTCAGGAGCTGTATGTTTTATGAAAGATGTTATTAGCTTCTCAAACATGTTCAAATCTGTATAGATTTTTACCCACGTGGATTTCTTTCAAAACACTTCATCAGTTTTGTTTCCTACACGTTCTCTGGGGTAGGGAAAATCAGAATAATGCATTGTGGTCTTCATTTCATCCCCACAGTACTGAAAAACTGCTCCCTGAGGTTCGGTCACTCGCCCAGCATGACACAATTATTAAGTGACAGATTTGAGTCCAAAATCCAAGCCTGCGTTCAGCTTTGTCTTCAGTGAGGTCTTTAGCATTCTTCTCACATTTAGAATTGGTAATTGCCACTGTCAATTTCCCCTGGTTTTCATCTAGGTCGTATTTGTAAGCATTACTTTATACACAAAAATACAGACTCACCAAAAACAACAAAAAAGTAAATTAGAACACTTTATACAGTGGACTTGCACTGATCTGAAAATGCCACAACCCTGAGACCTGTGTCCACAATACTTGCTCCCACCAAGTTCTTGGGCAAAGCCATACATCTCTATGCAACAAACTTGGAAACTGTTAAGCAGATAAGCCACTTTGTCCGATTTTTATACATAAGCAAGACCTGTGCCAGTCACCAAAATAACACAATGTACTTTTGAAAGTGCTTCCAAAGAACAATGATCAAATGGCCGGACGCGGGCGAGGTTGCAAAGATCTCATTACTTTGGCTCATGCACTGACCGTTCACGTAGTGTGAACTGTGATCATACTTCTTGACTTTTAGCAAATTAATTCTTATATTTTATCGGGGCTCCTTAAACATTTCAGCCAATCCTAAAACAAAATGAGTTAGTTTTTGCACACAGAAATTTGAATTTCAGTGAAGCAATTTCCCATGTTACAGGGTCCACTCCCGCCCCACCCACAGCAAAATGTAATTTCATTTTTTATAGATACTGAACAAAATGGTTTGAATTTCTTTTTGTATCTTTGAAATCCACACCCTTGAAAATATAAACTGATTTTGGTTTAAATAAATGACATATGGAAAATCCTACTGTCTGAATGTGTTCATTCTCGTATGCCACTGTTACCAAAGGGTACCGAAATCCACCTGGGGTTTGTTCAATAGGCTGTTTACCTTTCAGCTACTAAACTAAGATCAGATTAACTCCTTTTGCAAACAGAAACTAGTGGCCCAGGCTGAAAACTCTCTCTGGTCCTAACGCATTTACTAAGTTTACAGAATAGGTCTTAAATTCCTCTGCAAGTCACTCATTTCCCCTGAAGCAGAGAGAGGAAATAGTGTGCTCTTCCCTGTCAGGGCTTCCTGCTGGCCCAGGGAGGCATCATCAGAAAACCACAGGGGGGCTTCCCTGGTGGCGCAGCGGTTGAGAGTCCGCCTGACGATGCAGGGGACACGGCTTCGTGCCCCGGTCCGGGAAGATCCCACATGCCGCGGGGCGGCTGGGCCCGTGAGCCATGGCCGCTGAGCCTGCGCGTCCGGAGCCTGTGCTCCGCAACAGGAGAGGCCACAACAGTAAGAGGCCCGCGTACGGCAAAAAAAAAAAAAAAAAAAAAAAAAAACACCAAAAGTCAAAGTCTGCCATGTAGCTGATTAAACTGTTGCTGTTCATCAAATGTTTTCACTAGAACAGATGAAAAAAATGCCATTCTTCTGCTTCACACTTCTAGTCTGCCTTCAGGGAGAAGTAGATACTAATGTCCTCTTTCCGGATTACTCGATAGGTAAATCAGTATCACGAAGGAGCTTCTATAGAGACCTCAATAAAGAGATTCTTCCATAGAAAAACTCCCCTTGGACTTC